CGACTCTCATCCGTGGTACCTTCCGGCAAGTACTGCGGCTTTGAAGGGCATTGTTTGGATTTTGTTTCGATTCAGAGAGTGTTGAGTGTTTTGGTGAGCTGATGGCCAGACCTATAACAGTGAATCAACTTTCCTTGGACATTTGAGCACTCTCGACGTGTTTCTGATGTTTCACAGCGGCCATGCAGAAGGAGCTCGATGGACGATGTGCTGCTGCAGAGACATGCGCGAGACTGAGCCACTCTTCCTCTGTACGGAAGATTGCACCTAGCACCTAACATCAGCCTTTTGATTGATTTCAGCTTTGCAGGTGGTTGCAAGTTGGGAAATTCCTGATGCCCTGCCGCTGCTGGCACAGGCAGGAACAGCTGATTGCTGCCAAACAAAGCATTATCGTGAATCTACCTGGCGTTGTCGTGACTGGTGTGGTGGCATCTTGGCCGCCCTTTAAATGCCGCGGACAGAGCAAACTACATGGTTAGTGGCGCGTTGGTGCGCCTACATTTTAGGATGTTAAGAGCACCAAAACACTGGCAAACGCGATGTAGGCTTCAGGAAGGGTCTTGGGGACAAGGCCAGTAGTTTTTGCCTGGAGGCAGCTTCACTTGCCTCCAAGCTCAAACTACTTGTTTTTCCCAAAGCCCCTCTGTCTGAAGCCTACATGCATCTTATACCGCGCCGGCCAGTGTTTTCCGATTGAATGTTGCTGTGACAGAGAATAGGATGGAAACCAAGAAGGAGCAGCATGATTGTTCATCATGCCCCCCTTTCCCCCTTCCCCCCTCCCCCCACCACTCGTTAAGATTGTAACCATCCGTCGAAGCCTACAGAGGCTGAAAAAAAGTCTGAAGACCCGGCAACAGCGGAAAGCTCGCAAATACCGAGTTCAAGTGGTGGAAACAGGAAACCGTCAAAGCCTGAAGAGTTCTGAACGGACCTGCGGCAGTTGGCAAAACTAGACCCGAAGCTTCCTAGAAGGGGCCTCAAGAGCAGCGTGTCTTTGGGGCTTTGTGTTGAAGATCCTTCCTAGCTCTGAGCTTCAAAAGACCGGCTCTTGTGGATCGGGTCTCCCCTCCGAACTTGGGCACAGCGGCCACATCTGCAACTAAAGTGATGAACGCCGCGAAAGGGAAGGATGCAAGAATGAATGCGAGTGCCGGCATGTCGGAGACACTGACTGCTATGGCTGTGACAGAGAGATGTAGTAAAACAGCTGCGGAGAGCATTAAGCAAGTGTGCGATCGGGGATGGCATTGTCCATGCAGTGGCGCATTGGGAGAGTGAAGGGCCTGCGATGCCCCCAAAGAAATGCAAACCTGAAAGTCGGAATCATGATGCCTCGTTGGACCTTTTGCCTTAACCAACCTTGTCAAGATCCATCAATATCCTCGGGCTGCCCCTCATTGGTTCTGCAGTGTCCGCCTTTATCTGGCCCTTCACATGGAGAAGTGGGTCTGCTGTCCTGGGATGGACCAGGCATTGTGAAAAGACAGTGCAGCAGCAGGAAAGCAGTCCCACGAGTGACTGGAGAAAGTGGTCACCCTCAGTCATTCGGAGTGTATATTGTAAGGAGGATCAGTATTGTGGTAAATAATGGTCATAGCTGCAAACCGCTGCGTTAGAGCTATCCTGGCACAGGATGTACCTCGACGAGGGGGCTGGAAGCTGCGGCCACGGCGGCCTTTCGACGAGAAAGTCTGGGGTCTTCTTGTTCTTCACGAATAGGATCTAACAGCGAGCCAGAGAAAGATGATTTTGGCAAACCTGCGTAGTAAGGATGTGTTACGATCTACGTGTTTTCCTAGCTGGTCGACCACAGCATGTCTGCAGCAGAGAACAGGGGCTCATGAAACATAGCGGTGGAGGCTAAAGGAACATACCCGACCGGTCGATTCCATGTCATGCCGAGGCCCAAGGTCAAGCTGCTTTCTTGTTCTGATGAGCTGCGTCAATGCATCCTTACTAGCCCAGAGACCCCAACACCCTATTGAAAGTGTAAGGTCCCTAGAGTATTTTGCAAAGCGTGCTTCTTGTGCTTCCAGTATGGAAGGACAAGCATGACAGTAACAAAATCAGAGACTGAGACCGAGCCGCGAATCAGAAAATGCGCTTCAGAAACTGCGCATCGGAAGCCGCCGTGCATCAGAAACTGCGCATCGAAAACCGCCGCGCAGCAGAAACTGCGCATCGCAAGGCTCAGAAAGTGCTCATCGGAAACCGGCGCGCATCAGAAACTGGAGCTTGGAAACCAAAGTAGAGTGAAGGGGGTGGGGGTTGCCAATGCCATGTAAATCACAGAGGTCACCCTCACACGCCGGATATTCGAAGCCTACTGTCTCCAAGCTGCCACCGTTGCAACAGGTGAGAGCCAGACTTATGCTTGGAAACCGAAGCAGCCAAAACGCATGCAGCCGATGCAGCTCACTTGTCCCGTGCCTGTTCCGGGCCTGAGAGAAGCTCTGGTGCCTATCGTTTGGCGAAGGTTATGTACTTGACCCATCTGTTTGCTTTGTCGCAGAAGTCGGATAAACCTTTCCGGAACAACACGCCCATGGAAAACCGAGCATGGGGCTCAGTCCAAGCTGTACGGTGTTTCGCATCTTTCTTGACTTCTTGACTTTGTAATCCTTCCCAGAACTGCTTTGGTAGAGACTGGAATAGCCAGCGCGATAAAATCTCACACCTTCGTCGTGGGTCGGATTACCACAGCACAAGGATATGCTCAACTCGACAGGTCTCCCCTTTCTTGATGTCCGAGATGTCGGCAAGTAGCGACTATGCAGAGAAGGCGACTGTGCAGCTTCGAGCCTGAAACCTGCCGAAACCATGGCTCTTGGGCCATCAGATGCTGCTGAACCGGAAGCAAACCACGGTCCAACTTCGTACGCAATCACACCTACAGGAAGATTACCGCGGCCATTGCATGCAAACGCACCTGAACCACGCATCTTTTTTTCCGCCGACCCGTTTCGCAGCCTGTGCGCATGTTGCAAAGCCGCACGTCGCAATTGTCGCGGCTTGTGATGCCCGCGGATGCAAGCAAAACAAGAGCTTCGAACAATTTTGAACCTTGTCATTGGCCGTAGTACTATAGTACATTCCGGACCAAACGAGCATCATGGCACCTGATAGCGGAGCACAGTACGGTCAAGGAAGTTTTGGTGCAGCTCCTGCAGCTCCTTGGGGCCCTTTGCGGAGATCACCTTCCGCCGCTTCGGCCAGAGAGGGGCTGGCATGGGTGGTTTCGTAGAACAACAGGAAACTTAGCAGAACAGACAAAAAAGCGGCTGATTGACACAGAGTCCGGACAGTGTATTAGTTGTACATTCTGGGTTGCTGCCGAGTCATGGGCCCTCCTTGAACCCCAAACAGAAAGGAGGGAGCGAGAGAGTGAGAGGGAGAGACACTGCCCCAGGAAAGAAGAGAGAGTCCATGCGGGGGCTACTTCCTGCATTCGTCTTGTTCATCTGTGACATGCCAAGCGCTGTCGCAGTCGCAGCTGAGGACTGTTTTGAGTATGGTGGTTAGCGTAATTAGTGCATGCCTGCATATGTCAATCTACGGTTCCACCAGCACATGAATAGGCTGAGGTGCAGGGTTATTGAAGCGCCAATGAGTGAGTGATGTGAGGTGAGATGAAGGATTGACCAGGGCAAGCAGACAGAGTTAAAACAAATGATAAACGCCCAGGGGCCATGTGCAATACCCTGCGCAGTGCAAGTGTCCAACAATGATGCACAACAGTCCTGTGCGTATTCACAAATTAAGATCTGATAGGAATGTAAACATCAATACCCCAGGGCTTGTAATTATATCTTATCGGCAGACTGTCTTGCTTATTTGTGGGCTCCTCTTGTTGCCGCGTCACGGACTTGTGCCTTGAGTCGACGAGGGAGGTGCAGAAAATCAGCTACTGAAGAGTGTCAAGTCTATCGAGTCGTCGAGGGAAGACACTGACATGCCGGCGGAGACTATCTTAGTGAGGAAGAGGTGCAGACAAGGCTCAACGCCATCATTCAAGGGGTATGTGCATATTGGTGAAAGGACTGTACCCAGCGGGCGATGGAGATGCAGCGAAGGCAGGTGTCATGGTTCGATTTCTCCTCATGCCTCCAGGGCTTAGCTACCTGCAAGCTGTGCAAGTGTAGAAGCACAGATGCACACGTTGTCGTGTGCGAGTGCACAAAGCCGTGTCTCCACGTAAAAGACAGACACACACACACACACAGACACTCTCTCTCTCTGACACATATACATATACACATGTACACATACACACACACACACACACGGAGATGCCAAGAACAGGTGCGCAGGCAACCGACTCAGACAGCGACGGACAGACACACAGACAGGCGCACAGAGATGCACATGCAAAGAGTGTCACGCATGCACACACACACACCCATATATATATATATAATATATATATATATATATATGTAATTATTCAGTTTCTTTTCAAGCATGCATTTATTCATGTGTTTGTGTTTGTTGATACTTATTGATAGAAAGTTGCATTATTTATAACTGTTTTTGTATACAAATCTTTCCATTTTTGCGTGTGTGTATATATATATATATGTATGTATGCATGTATGTCTGTCTGTCTGTCTGTCTGTCTGTATGTATGTATGTATGTACGTATGTATGTATGTATGTATGTAGGTGTATATCCAACTGCATTCATGCGGCGGTCCGCGTGCTGTGATACTGGAGGATATCAGGTCTTCCCCGCATGTTCAGCAGTGATTTATGCACACACAGACACACACATACACACCCAAACGCTCAACGTAGAAAGCACACGACCGACACGCACACCACAGCCACACACAAGCACACAGACAGTCCCATGTAAGAGTGCAGTAGCTTCGAGCAGTGTTGGTTGGGTAGGGTCCGAAGCACTTATATGCGTGCTGCACCCGAGCACTCCGGCAGCCATTGCGGCCCAGGAGTGCGAGGCATTCGATCCACTTTTCTTTAGGGTCGAGCCTTGCATGAGCCATGGTCTGTCTGCTGGAGTATCTGCTACATTAGGCGATCGCGCCCTTCAGATCTTAGTAGCGACAGGTATTTCTTCAGACGCTGACCTGGCTTGCTTTTGGACATCCCCGCAGGAGATCGAGGGTGTAGTGCCCGGGGATGTGTTGCAGGAGATTCTGCAAGCTTGGCGCTTAGCAAATCAACGCTTCGAGCTACATGCGGTTCGTGATGCCCTTCCTGGACCGACTCCGGCGAAGATAGTGGTGGCTGCCGCTGCTAGGCCAAAGAAACGTTGTTTGCCTCCTGCCGCTTTGCAAGGAAAGGCTTGTCGTCTAAAAGGCCCGCAGCCTGTGGCTGCGACCATCCCGGACCATCTGCAATCGAAGCGGGAGCAAGAGATTCAGGCGATGTTTGAGGTGGTTGTTGCCACTGGCTCAGCTAATCTTCGCTTCTCTCCCACGGAGATGGGACTGACTCAGGATATTAAGCCCCTATTCGTGAGGCTCCTGGACAAGATTTCTGATGCCAGGGTTTCTTCGTTGCTGTCTATCCTTCGGCGTTGGGTGCGCTATGCTGAGTGCCATGTGGTTGCTGACATGCCATACTGGAGACCTTCGGCATAGCCTTAGCAGGCTTCCTCCAGGAGGTTTCTCAAGGTGGGCCCACGGCTGCGGTGAACGTCTTTAATGGGCTTAAGTGGTGGCGCGATTTTTTGGGAGTGCCGATGCCGACGACCGATCCGCTGGTCGCGATGTACAAGAATCCACCCCTGGGACATGCGCCTAGGCAGAGGACTCCTCTGGCTTTGGGTGTCTTCTTTACGTTGTGCGCCAGGTTCGAGACAAGCACAGGCTCTGTTCGGGCTTTTCTGGCTTGGATGCTTCTGCTCTGTACGGCATGCCTCAGGTTCGCACATCTTCAGAGATCCAGTGGCTTGAAGTGTGAGGGTAGCCTGCTGTCGGCGATTTGCCGAATGGGCAAGAGGAAGGAGCAGGGTGTGCAGCAGCCATTTGCATGGTGCGTTCCGGCTTGCGTCCAACCGGGCGCTTGCATCGCACCTACTTTGTTGCTGGAGTATGGTGAGTTGTGCGTGGCTGTTGCAGATGCACCATTCATCGTTCCTGACATGCAGTTGCCAAAATCGGGCCGACTCGAAGCTGGCACGCCCAAGATTGCATCCAAGATGAGCCGGGCGAAGTTTTGTGACCTGTCTAGGAGTGTTCTACAAGCGATTGGTGTCCAAGAAGAGGATTTGGACCAGCTGTCTAGCTACTCTTGCAGGCGGTTTATGCCGACGCTTGCGGACTGCCAGGGTGCTTCTTATGAGACGGCTGGCTATCGGTAATTGGGTTGAAGCACCGACGGATCGAGTTACTGTTAAAAACTCCGCTTCCAGAATGCCCATTCGCTATTCGGATGAGAAGGCGGCAACTGCTGGGATGGCCAAGATGCGATTGCTGGCGGCACTCAGTCTTGTCAGAGAGGCGTCAGGGGACAAGGTTCTGACGTGGTCTGATGTTTCCCAGCTTCGGCCGAGTTCTGCTAAAGTTGAAAAGGTGATCAATTCACCGGAGTGGCTCATGGATGCAAATGTGGCCCCCAAGCACGGCGAAGTGCTTGAGAGCCCACCTTGCGAGGCCAGTTCAGATGGCATCAGCTCGTCTTCGTCTTCATCGAGTGATTCTGACTCCGAAGCTTCGAACGAGGCTACTCCCTGTGCTGCGTGGTTCACACAACATCCCAAGGGATCTGTGCACCTTGTGCAGAAGCAAGCGGAGTGCAGATTGGTTCCGTGGTGCAGGGACCTCCCTTTCGACGTGGTCCACGTTGAGAGGGGCTTTGGCACCGATGTCGGTGATGGTCGGTCCCTTTGCAGGAAATGCTTGAGCAGGGCGCCGCCGGCAGTAGTGGCGAGGTTCACCTGATGGCCCACTGAGTGGCTTCTTCAGGTATGTGCATCGGCAGTAAAAGGCTTACCTTCCTTCGGTGTCTTTGCGGCGGAAGTGTGCCTTAAAGCATGTCTGATTCATTTATGCAGTGTGCTTTTGTGAGTGCCTGGGGCAAGCGAGCAGGGGTTGTTCACCAGGGTTCATGTTTGCGTGCAGGCTGATTATTCCATAAAAGCCCTCCCGGATGCATGATGGTACAAGGGTAGTGTTGGGGCGCTTTCTGGTTTGCACCATGGCTGCAGCTGCATCTTCGAAAAAGGGAGAAATCCCACCACACGTGGCTCTTGCAGCTATAGCGGAGTTGCCTCCGCATGTGCTGGTCTCTGTGTGTCAGGCTGTGCCTTTGGAATCCCGCCGCAAACTTCTTGATGCACTGGAACGGAGTGTGCAGGACAGGGCGGATGTTGCGGATCCGGCCATGGTGGAGCAAAGTGCCCAGGTGCAAACCTATGAGGACTTGACGTATGAGGCTGGGCAGGAGGTAAACACCTCTGCTGGTGTCGCTCCGATGCATCCTTCGTCATCGTGGCCAACTGCTGATGTTCCGAAGCCCCTGAAGCGTGGTCCTTGTTGTAGGAGCTTGTCTGGATGAGTAGGCCTAGAGCTTCATCCATCACGGGATGCACCGTTCCGGGCGTATAAAGGCTGCGGGTGATTGTGCCTGTTCGGTCTGCTTGGCGGTGGCTCGTCAGTGCTTCATAGGAGTGCGCTACGTAGAACTTGAATGCTGAGGAATTGTTGTCCTGAATGCTGCAGTTTTGTGACCGAGCAGCTTCCTGATCTAGGTGGAGGCCATGGATGCCTTGCGCGGTGTGCTGCAGTCAGCTAAGACATCCGAGCACGTGAACAGATACCTCACTGATACACTCAAGGTGGCTTCGATTGAGGATTTGGTGTTCCTTGTCTCAGCTGCAGCATACGAGACAGAGTTGAAGTCTTTGGTCACGGACCAGGTTGATGCGGTTAGGGATGTTCCCATCGAGCTGGCCAGACTGCGCGCTGCGTGGCGTAGGGCTAAGGCTGAGCTGCTCAAAGTCGAGGACAAGGCACGCCGAGGCGTCGCACCCGCGGAGGAGATGGATGAGACTTTGGAATCGACCGTCCAAGATGATTTGATGTCGAGGTTTGCGCGGTGTTATTGGCATAAAATTTCAGTCCATATGATGCCGTCTGATGCAGTGCTGGCGAGAGTCTATCGGGAATTGACTCGAAACCTACCCACGGTGATTCCATTGACTAAGATCCGGAGCTTGTTTCAGTCTCACAAGCCTACGGCTGAGAGGCGCATTTCCTTGGGTGGAAATGTCACAGTCAGAGTCGATGAGCAGGAATCGGCACCACTCCGCAATGTCTTCGATTATTATCATGCTTTGCGTGTGCTTGGCAATGCTTATGCGATTGCAGGGTCTATTGAAGTGCCCAGCCAAATTGATCAGGGTAAGACGGTCAGGGTGTCGCCATTCCAGACCCAGTTGGACTACGCTGATTTCGTGCTCCGCATGGCGATGCAATGGGAGGCGCCGCTGAGCTGGGTTAAGGATAGGGATGAGGCGACACGTGGCCGCATGGTGGAGCTCATGAGGCAGGGTTTCACCCAAGGGGAAGCCCTGTCTAGGGCCATGTCTGAGCAGGAGGTGCAGTGGTCTGTCACACCGCCCCCAGTGCCGGCGCATAAACGTGCACCACCTGAGGAAGGCTCACCCTCGGGATCGCCGGCTAAAAGGGTGCGCACTGGGTCGCACTACCGCGGCAAAGAGATATGCAAAAGGCGAAATGATCAGCGAGGATGCTCTGACCCTTCCTGTGCAAAAGAGCATCGGTGCGACGTCCTCGTGGATGGTGAGGTCTGTGGTTCCACGAAGCACACCCGCCTCACGTGCCCACACTTTCGCAAGTGAAAGGATGGCCGCCTGGTTACATGCGGGGATCCTGTTCCAGGTGAGGCCACACTCGCACATGATTCTAAGTCTGTTATGTCTTCGCCGGTCATGCCAATGGCTGAGTCCGCATGTGAGGTTCAGCGGAGTGTTGCTGCGGACGGTTTGCGGGTAAGCGCCGAGGATGAAGATGGGGCCCTTCATAGGTGCGTGCGAGTCTCCGTAGGCCAGGACCCCCCGCAGAAGCTAGCCAAAGCAAGCGTGAGTCTCTGGTCCGGGGCTAGGCGGCTTCGTCTTTGGTCCGATAAGGTCGTGTCAAGGGTTGACCGGAATTCTGATGTTGCCACACCTGCTGCCTGGCGCACGGTGAGAGCCTGGGAACCGAAGGCGGTCTTTGCTCAGAGACCCGATTGGGCATTCAGGCCGTGGCTTCGGGATGTGGGTCTTAAGTATGTCGTGTACACAGGGGATGCTCCTCTGCCGCAGATCCCGTGGAAGCTACCATGGGACGGGCCAATTCTTGTCATCTCCCTCTTTGATGGCATCAGTGCACTGCTTGTCGCCCTCATGTGTATGGGAGTTGTCTTTTCAGCGGTAGTGGCTGAGTCAGATCCGGTGTTGCGAACGGCAGTGAGCATGTGCTTTGGCAATGTGTTCGTCCAGCACGATGCTAGGCAACTTGATTTGGCTGTGGTGCGCAAACTCTTGCAAGAAGGCGGCTACACTGCTGTACTGGTTGCAGGGGGCTCTCCGTGTCAGGATGTGTCACCGTTGAACAGGAAAAGAAAGGGCTTGGCCAGTGATCGCACTTTGCTTTTCAACTGCATCCCTCAGGTGGCCCAGCAGTGTGAATCCTTGCTTGATGAGTTGGAGTTGAATATACCTGTGTTCCAGCTCCTTGAGAATGTCGCTCGAGGCCCACTTGACTTCGTTCGTGCAGTCTCGGCAGCCTTTCGGGGACCTCCTGTTACGATTCATGCAGGTAGTTTCGGGTGGTGCCGCCGTTCTAGGTGCTTCTGGGGTGCTGTAGGTTCTAGGTCGATGGCTGACCAAAAGGAACCAGTGCTTCCCCATGGAGTTGCATCTGACTGTCGAGCTGGCCAGCTACACGTCCTCTGGGCTGGTAAGAAACCTTTGCCTACCACAGTGTTCTTTGAGGATGGATTCGCGCCTGCCTTCGATCCGACTGCGGAGGTCCGTAGGGGCATGGATGCGTTCCCTTTCCCCACCTTTACGCAATGCTTTCCGCATGACGTCGATAAGGACTCGAAAGCTAGTAAAGTCGCTGTGGAAAGGTTTCGTCAGGATCATTGTAGATTCCCGGCACACACCTATGAGGACCGAGGACTCTTGTGGAAGGGTCAAGAGTGGTGGCAGCCATCGGCGTCCGAGCGGGCGGCCATGATGTGCCTCCCCGCTTCTTTGCTTGATGCCATCTCAGTCTCTGTGGATCGGGAGGCTGCGACGTGTGAGAGTCGTCGCATGTCGGCCGTAGGTAACTCCTTCCATGTCCCCTCCATCATGATTGCGTTGATTCTACTGTTTCAGCTTGTCCCTCAGTGTGCTGCGATACCAGCTGCGCGGTACGAGACAATGGAAGGTAGGCTTCGGCGCCAGGTCCAAGGTACCGTGTGGCAGCCGGGCGTGGTTGATAGTTTTCCAGGTCTCTTGACGGCACCGTTGATCCAGGAGCGCTTGGATGGCATCTTTGCTGAGCTTGGAGTGCGGCTCCCTCCTATGCATGTTTCTGCTGATGTTGAGCGGGCAGTGGCCCGTCTGCAGGTGTATACCGTGGATAGGTTGCTCAGGGGCTTGCCAGTGCATGAGTTGCGCCCGGAGTGGGCTCAACAGAAGGCAGCAGGCGAGTCGGCGGCAGCACTAGGGGTACAAAAGGGAGCAGTCTTGCATAAACATGCCCTCGTACCCCTCATGCCTCCAGCACTTGGGAAGGATAGCCGTTCGAAGATGAGCACATGCTTGCAATCGCCATTCCAAGCAGCAGCAGTGTTGGATGATGACGCTAGGTTTGCTGTTAGGGGGATGGTTGCCCTGGGCCCGTTCGCGAAGATGTGGCGGAGGAAGCAGCTTAGAGCTTTGCGTTGTCTTGATAAGGCCCTTGACAGTCTGAATGCGGAGCTCGTGAAGCTAATGCCGGCTTCAGTCCATGCCGTTGCTAAGAGGAAGCGCCCGGCCACAATGACGGCCTTGGCTATCCTGTTGGTGTGGCCTGATGTTACCGTTGGCCTGCGGTTTGTTAAGGGTTTCAAGCTGCTTGGCAACATTGAGGCACCGTCCCTTTTCCGAGAAGTGTCTCCGGTGATCCCTCCTGTGGTAGGTTTGCAGGCGCTCACAGGAGATCATGCCGCGGAGATGTGCAGTAAGTTGCGTGCCACGCTGCCTAAAGCTGAGTTTTCCCGGAGGTTAAAGCATTTACCTTGCAGGAAATCCAAGATGGTCTTGCGGAAGGCCCGTTCTCCGAGGAGCAGCTTCACGAGCGGTTTGGCCCTTTTTGTTGGGCGCCGATGAGGCGTTTTATGCATCAGCAGTCCTGTGGCAAGCTCCGGCCCATTGATGATGGGCGAAGCGGTGGTCATAACAGTTGTGTTGTTGCATCCGAAACGATTTTCACGAGTTCGCCTGACTTTGTGAGTGCGGCGCTCAAGTATTTGATGCACTTGTTGCTTGAGTCGGCCGAAGAAGATATCGAGTGGGCTGCCCCCGTCTTTGGTTCGGAAGACATGTCGGCAGCTTATCGCCAGCTTCCGAATGTCCCGGCGGATGCCCCCGGATTGGTGTTGGGGTACTGGGACCCTGATTTGCGAGAGATGCGATTCGCTGTGCTAAGGGCTCACCCCTTTGGGCTCGCAAGTGCAGTGCTCAACTTCAACAGGATCCCATGCTTGGGTACAGCATGCCTCCGGCGATGTACCGCATCCTGTGTCACACATTTCTTCGATGACTCAGGCATCCTGGATGTCTCATCCTCTCATGGTTCGGCGCAAGAGTGTGTGAACGTGCTGTACCAATGCATGGGTGTCCAGCTGGACCCGCCTAAGCAGCAGCCCATGGCGTCTCAGAGAGTGTTCTTGGGTGTTTTGTTGAACTTGTCACGCACGCTTTTTGACCGCACCATGCTTGTAGACATTAAGCCTGGGTTGCGTGAAACCATATTTGCGGATGTGCAGCGCATGCTTGATGCTGGGCGTTGCTCACCTGGAGAGGCAGCCAAATTGTGTGGTCGTATGGTCTGGGCTTCCTCCGCGATGTTCGGCAGATGTGGCCGTGGAGGGCAAGGACCGGTTTCGGACAGGCAGTATGATGTGGGGCATTCTGAGCTCACACCCCACTTGACTGCGGCGTTGCACTATGTCCAGGCGTTAGTTAAGGTTGTCCCTCCTAGGCTTGTTCCGTTGCATGGGGTCCCCGTTTCGCCGGTAGTGATTTACACGGATGCCAGTTTTGAGCCAGCGCATTTGACCTCGCCCGGTTTGGGTACGGTCCTGTTCGTACCAGGTTCGCAGCCGGCAGGTTACGCGGCATGGGTGCCGGATGAAGTGCTCACCAGCTTCCAGAAACGAGAAACGCAGATTGCACCGTTGGAGGCGCTTGCGGTCGTCTTGGCTTCCCTTCAGTGTCGGGAGGCTCTCGCTGGGGCTGAGGTTTTGTGGTTCATAGATAACCAGGCAGTGTGCTCTAGCCTTGTTCGTGGCACAAGCTCAATCGATGATATGGCTTCGCTTGTGTCAGTGACACATCTTCTCTGGGCATCAATGGGTGCCCGAGTCTGGATCGAGTGGGTGGACAGCGAGTCCAATGTTTCGGACGGACTGAGCAGGAGTGGATGTCACGACGCGTGGACTTGCTCTCAAGACTGGGTGCTCCAGGAGACCACATGTTTACCATGGCAGAGCTTTCAGCATTTGCCTCTTCTCCAGTTGTCGGAGGCCTTGTTACATTGGGCGGATGATGCATTGGGGTGATAGCTGCTTTCGCTGTCGCCCACTTCGTGGCCGTCCTTAGATGACCCAACGTACTTACGGCCATCCTTCGACTGAGACCGCGAGGACTCTTCGTGCAGGAAAAAGAGTGCGAGCACTCACCATCGCTCGAGCATTGTGCGTCGCAGGTGTGCAGTGCATATGCAGTAGCTTCGAGCAGTGTTGGTTGGGTAGGGTCCGAAGCACTTATATGCGTGCTGCACCCGAGCACTCCGGCAGCCATTGCGGCCCAGGAGTGCGAGGCATTCGATCCACTTTTCTTCCCGCCCTGACCCAGCCCTCAAAGTGGTGACTGCGAGTGGATGGGTGGGCACCTATCGCCATTGAGGCGCCAGTGCCATTCAGGCGTTTCATAGTAGATTCTGTACATTATTGTGAAGGGGTGATAGCTGCTTTCGCTGTCGCCCACTTCGTGGCCGTCCTTAGATGACCCAACGTACTTACGGCCATCCTTCGACTGAGACCGCGAGGACTCTTCGTGCAGGAAAAAGAGTGCGAGCACTCACCATCGCTCGAGCATTGTGCGTCGCAGGTGTGCAGTGCATATGTATACATGTATACAAGTTCTTAATGTAGCCTCTTTTGAGCTAACAACTTGCAATCGTTGCCATGAAGCAGCACAAGACCGCATGCTCGCAGGGTGACTCTGTCATCTACTTCTGGGCTGAGCCACCTGTCTTCAACACGCCGTGGTGACTAAGCCCCGGATTTGCAGTCCAGCAGCAACCGTAGTTTTTTTTTTGTTCGTTGTTGTTGTTGTTGTAGCCGCTA